TCGAAACCCGCACTGCAATTGGTCGAGCAGATTGTGTGTTTCGAGAAATGTAAAAGTCGGCGGTTTATCATCTTCTCAAAAAGTTTACAAAGGCAGCTTGTAAGTGCAATGGGCCTATAACTCGAAACTGAGGAAGGGTCCTTCGCCCTGTTTCGAAATAGGGGTAACAATAGCCTCTTTCCAGGAAGGAGGGATGGTGCCAGAAAGCCAGATAGCATTGCATAGGGAGAGTAAAGTTTTTCGCGTTTTGAGCGGCAAGTTTTGTTCACATTTCATACGTGGACACGATCGTAGCCTGGGGCAGAATTACTGCAGGAGTTTAGTGATGCTTGTAGCTCAGCTCAGCTAAGTTGAAAGGTTGGTTGTATGCCTCGTAATTTATGCACTTGTATTCTAGTTTCTACTTTTCTATCCTTCCTTTGTATCTTTGGAAAGCTTCAGTATAGTGTGACGAGCTAGACACCTGCTCGTAGTGTGCACCGAGGAAGTTCGCCTGATCTTCCTGGCTGTCACCCTGTGTGTTTATGAGTGGGAGTGAGTGTACTTGTCTTCCTGCTAGCCTACCAACCATGTTCCAGACTTTAGCTTCTTGTGTATATGAACTTATCCCCGATAAAAACTTGTGCCAGCTTTATCTTCAAGCCTGCCCACGCCTTCTCCTGCTTTAAGACTTTATTTTCTTAAAGCTGTCAAGATTTTCGGCTTTCGGTGAATTCCCAAGCAACCTCCATGCCCTGTTCTGCTCCTTTCACGCATTCCGACACTCAGTGTTCCACCATGGGACGCGTCGCTTGCCCGGCATACCGGATGTTTGCGGTATGCACTTGGCTGCTGCATTAGTAAGAAAAGCAGTGAAGTACTGCACAGCTTCATCTATGTTTAACCTACATATGTCGGTCCAACTTAAACGAGTAGTGTTGTGAAACTGTTCCCAGTTTGCTTTGACTGTCTGCCATCTGGGAACATGTGGAGGACTTTTTTCTAGTGGTGTACTTAGAATGATCAAGAAGTGATCACTTCCGAAAGGATTGTTGATCACTTTCCTTTGAAGTAGGGGTACAAGCGATGGGGACACAATGCTGAGATCTATGCATGAGTAGGTTTTGTTGACGAGGCTAAAGTATGTTGGCTCTTTCCTATTCAACAGACACGCACCCGAAGAAAAAAGGAACTGTTCGATTAGACGACCTCGTGCGTCGCAACGAGAGTCGCCCCATAGACCATTATGTGCATTCAAGTCCCCAAGGACCACATAAGGTTCCGGTAGTTCATGTATCGATGACTGGAATTGATGTTTTTCGAGACGGTACTGTGGAGGTATGTAAAGAGAGCAGATGGTGACAAGTTTTTTCAGAAGAACTGCTTGAACAGCCACTGCCTCAAGGGATGTTTGTAGCGGTAGATGTGTACATGCTACGCCCTGATCAACTATAATGGCCACACCACCAGATGACGCTACAGCGTCATTGCGGTGCTTTCTGAATAATGACGTAGAAAATTGACGTAGAAATAGAATTGACGTAGAATAATGATGTAGAAATAATGACGTCGAAAATTGGTGTTTTTGGAATCTAAGTGTGTCTCTTGTACACACAGCACTTTTGGGGAAGGTTTGTGTAAGAGTTCCTGGATATCGTCGAGGTTTTTAAGCAGCCCTCTGACGTTCTATTGTATTATTTGCGTATGCATTTTGATTGTAAATGAGTGCTGTGTGTACTAAAAAAGTATTGTATCAAGTCAAGAAGCTTTGTCAGGTTCCGTAATGATGGTTTTTGATTTTCTGGCACGCTCCAAAGAGCCGCGCTTGTCCTTTAGTGCCGAAGACACCGTTGGACTTGCTCCTGTGTCCATCACCTCGGACGAGGTGCTGGATGCCTGCTCACGGTTCACGCGTGAAAGCATGGACGTTTTAGGGCTCTCTGTGGAGACAGAAGGCCCTAGGGCTTCAGGTCCAGAGGCCTGCAAACCTTTTGGTGGTGGAAGAGCCTGTGCTACTTCCGCTGAGGGGGTGAATGGCGCTGTCGCTCGTCCACTTTGTGTGGTACGTGTAAGCGCCGCGGATTTTGGTGGCACTGCCCCCTTTAATGCCACCTCCGCGAACGAAGGTCCCTGCATTAGTAGACGCTTGGGCGCCTCCTTAAACGAGATGTTTTCATTTACTTTCAATGTGAGTACTTCTTTTTCATGTTTCCATGTAGGGCATGTGCGAGAGTAAGCAGGGTGTCCACCATCGCAGTTCGCGCAGTGTGTAGTGGTTTCTTCACAATTGTCTGCAGCATGTTCGTACGAGCTACACTTTGCACAGGTTTGACGGCCGCGGCAGCTCTGAGAACAGTGGCCGAATCGCTGGCGCTTAAAACAACGTCGGGGCTTGGGGATGTAGGTTCGGACTTTTACCTTCAAGTAGCCTGTTTCGATATATTCTGGAAGTGTGCTTGTGCAAAATGTAAAAATGAGGTGCTTTGTAGGGGTTTCTTTGTTATCACGCCTAATCTTAATTCTCTGTACATGCGTTACATGCTGTTCGTTCAAGCCCTCAAGTAGCTCACTCTCTGTCAGGTTAATTAGGTCTTGCTCAGACGCTACGCCTCAGGAACTGTGCAGGGAGCAGTGTGGTGTGATAGATACAGGTGTTTTTCCAAAAGAGGTGAGTTTTGTCAGGTTTTCATACTGGGTCTTGGTTTGGACTTCAAAAAGAAGGTTCCCGCTAGCCATACGTGTAGCCTGATATCCTGGACCTAGTGTATTGGTAAGGCATTCAGAACTGACAAACAGAGAAATGGTTCTTGCGTTCCTTTCTTGCGTTTCACAGTGGATCACATGAAAGCGTGGGAAAATTTCTTTCGGCTTTATAAATACATTCAGTGTTGCTTCGGTGCGCCCCCTCTTAGGAAGAGGGCGATCAGACAGTTTAGGAAATGAAAAAGAGGCCATAAAGTATATATAAATTCGGCAGCCATGCCAGCTGCCCACCATCGAGCCCAACATGGGGACGCGGCAGCACAAGGCATGCCAGCGCCAGCTGTACAAAGCCACTATAACCCATTAGTATGTGACCAAGAGAGGGCACATACACAAGGTTAACCCTTGCCGCCTGGAAGATGGAAGTAACCAGAAGTGAGGAGATGACAGGAAAGATTGGAAGAGAGAAAAGACGAAGATCAGGAGGGAGAGAGAGACAAGAAAAGGCGACTGCCGATTTTCCCTGGGTGGGTCAGCTCAGGGGTGCCGTCTACGTGAAGCCGGGGCCAAAGGGGTGTGTTGCCTCTGCTGGGGGGCCTTAAAGGTCCGATCACCCGGCGTCGGCTCAACCTCCAGGATCCCCTTTTTTCCGGACACGGCAAAGCCACGCACGGCTAGGCATGGGAGGGAGTCAAAACCCCCCCGTTAGCTCGGGTCCATGGTGTCGCTACACAACAAACGCCTGCTTATGCAGACGCCCCTGCGGGGAACCTTGCCAGATTTCAACGTCCAAGAGAAAGTGAAAGTGCAAAAGCACATTCCAGTATGATCTTTCAAAAGGGCCACTTCCACCCATTGAAGAAGATAAAGTCGTGAGGATCAAAAGGAAAGCTTGGTTGCAGAAAGCCCAAGTTATTGGTCAGATGCACCCGAGATCGTACAACGTTTTAACCGAGGGAAACAAGCTCATGAGGCGGAACAGGCAGCATCTGTTACCCACAAAGGAAACTTTCAACCCCGATGTTCTTGGTGACCTCAGCGACGATTACGTTTGTCACTCGACGCCGGCAACACCAGTAAATCTCGGCGAGAGCCCCACGCAGGACGTGCAAATGACAGCGCAACCAAGTGCAGAGAATAACCCAGCGCAAGTGACAGCGCAAGCATCCGCTCTTCTGCCTAGAAGATCCAGTAGGCAGGGACGGCCCCCCACGCGGCTACAATATGACCACAGCTTTAAACAAGTGCCTTGAACATCTCTCACAACAAGCAGAAGGTCTTGGCCGGCAGCAGAGTGATTAGAACAAAGTCTATATGCAAAGACATTCCTTGAACATAACGTTTCTGTCTGTCAGAAAATACAAAGCACTAGCGTTGGAGCCCTGTAACAAGTTGCATATCCTCAGGCATATTTACCACCACCAGTGCTGAAGACATCACTGACCGTGGTACAGTTTGTTGCATATGCATTTTGTGCATTTGCTAATTTGCCAACCAATAGGTCTGGCCAATCACAGCGCTGCAAATTTGACACAAACCACCAACTTGGAAGACACTTCTTCAAAAAATGTTGTGCACAAATGTAACCAGAATTGATAGCACTTGTCATTTACAGATGGCCTATTGAAGCCTACTAAAGCATCAACTTTAAATACACTCAAAGGGACTCTAAAATGAAACATTAAATCAGTTTAAACAGATAAATTATTCTTTAAGAATTCTCCTTTAATTATTTTTCTGTCACTGGTTAAACACAAGCAGAGAAAATTTATGTCTGAGTATCATTTATGAATTTGTGCCAAATCTGCCACATGTGAAGGTCATGATGACACAACAAATTTCACAGTTTCTTTAGTGTATTTTGGCCACTATGGTTGAATCAAACTTGGTATGTTAAGGTTTCTGGTATATTAGAACACAATGTAAACAATTTTTCGTGATAACCAGGCATTCTCACACACAGTCGAAATACATGACATTATGGTATGCTGGTGCAGCAACTTCAAAGAGGTGTGTCCACCCATTTTTTTTTACTTTATCACACTTTCTAACTAATTGAGCACCTTTTTGCAGTAAGAGTAATGCTTTCAGGATTGAGAAATTCTAATTTGTTGATACGGGAAAATGTTTTGAATCTTTTTTTAGTAGCCCTTTAAGCCCACCAGTAGGGCTTCAATTCCGCATAAAGCTGAATTCAGTTTGTTCTCACCACAAGGAACCAAAACGGTCAACAGCAGAAGAGCCTCCAGTGCCTGATATCACATAAAGTACCTTTGTTCTACATGTAGGAGCATGATGTTGTGAAAATATAAATTTACCTCAATTCTTGGAGTTGCCGCTGCAGTTGGTGGAGCATGCGAACGAGAACAGCATTGTAGCCCTTCCAGGCCTCGGCACCATATTGAGCCATCAGTTCCAAGTTGGCAATACGGGTAGCTTGATGTTCCAACTGCGCCGATGAGTTGTCAACGCACTCCGACCAGGACGCGACGTCCGTCGTTTTGCCAGCAGGCGGCTGCGGAAGCTCGTATCTGGAAACCGTTGAAAAATATGTGAAACCAGTGCTGCAAAGAATGAACTCGTCCCTGGCAATGTGAATATGCATTGCACCTTGGTCACAATTTAAAGAAAAGATTAGGTTTGACCACAGCCACCTCGTCCCTCCCACAGAGAAATGCCTCACTGAATAGCGACCACTTGTTTTTGTGAAGCCACGCATTTCTCGAGTTCAATATAACTTGGAGCTGGGCAAGTTGTTTCATACTTCTAGTTTACCTTGAATATTTCTCGAGTATTTCACATAGTAGACGTTACAATACAGGCACACAGGCACGCTTTTTTATAGCTGGTTCTTGGTCGGAAAGCTGACAATCCTCGTGAAATTCATCAAGGATTCTGACATTGCTGTTAAAATTTCGTACCGTTTCGGAAAAGAAGGAAAGCTAAGCGGAACCCTTGGATAAGCAGAGAAATAATCCAACTGAAGCGTAGAATAAGCTACCAGAGACGCAAAGCAACAAAAGACCGTGCAAAAATAACTGAATTGTCTGCACAACTGCGTTCCACGATTGCAGAAGCCAAAAATAGATATTACAAAGAAACACTGACAGAGTTCATGACAAAGTTTCAAGTTTTCAAGTTTTCAAGTTTATTCAACAACGATGTCAGTTTACAGAAAAGTGCGTACAGGATTGGTAATACACACAAGGAGCCCCAAAGTTGGAAACTGTCAGGGGGGCTCCCATACATGATGTTAACGGGAGAAGAAATAAAATATACAATATACAACATTCAGTTGTTACAATATCTTCAGTAAGAAAAAGAAAAAAAAAAAGCACAGTGCGAAAAAACGAAAGTAGAAAATACATATATGTTTAGCAAGGCAAAAAAGAAAACTCTGAAGAACAAACAAGCGCAAGTTATAATACAAAACGTAAGGACAATATAACATGTAGCAATTGTTATCGCTACATTAAAAAGCAGTTGCTAAGATGAAGACGACTGTTGCAAAAAATATTTCTTTACTTGGTTTTTGAATGCATGTTCTGTGGTTGATGATTTTATTACGTAAGGAAGGGAATTCCACAGCTTGATTCCCGTAATGTGGTAGTGAACTTGCCGTAGTTTGTGCGAACTTTAGGCAGAAGGCGGTTATCAAGCTCAGAAAACCTAGTAATATTATTATTTACAAGGCCTTCCAAAACAATGCCATCTATATGCACATTACCGCGAAAAAGCCTATACATCACAACTGATAACTTCAGCTGAAAGAGGTGATAAAGAGGATGTATATTTAAATTCTGATAAAGTGGCGTTGCATTGGTTAAGAAATGGCTGAAAGTCATGAGTCGAAGTGCTTGATTCTGTAGGCGTTGTAGCTGGTTGAGGTGGGTCAAATATGTGTTACCCCAGGCTGATATGCAATAAGATAAATGGCTGTGAATATGTGCGTGATAAAGGGAGTGGATTATGTGTGGCTGAAAATATGAACGAGTTTTGATTATGGCGCGTATTCCAAAGGTTATCTTGCGAATGAGTGATTGCGCATGAAGATTGAATTTCATATGCCGGTCAAGAACTACACCGAGAAACGTTGTACTGTCGGACATGGGAATTAAATTATCATCCAGACGCACAGATATAGATTTTGAAAGTACAGTCGGGAAGGAATGAAAAACTATAAAAACGGTTTTTGATGGATTAATTCTTAACATGTTCATTCGACACCAGGAACTTATATTATGTAGATCCACGTTAATGTTTCGTTGTAGCTCATCGACATTGTTAGCATAAGTAAAAATGGTCGTGTCATCTGCATATAAGATACAATCTGTAGCGGTCAAAACATTAGGTAGATCATTAATAAATATCAAAAAGAGCAGCGGGCCAAGGATCGAGCCCTGAGGAACACCTTGATTTACTTTCTTAGCTGCTGAAACTTTACCGTCAATCTGAACAACTTGAGTGCGATTGCAGAGATAACTAGATATAAATTGAAGTGCAGGGCCAGTTATGCCATACGATTCAAGTTTATGTATAAGAATTTTGTGATTAATTGTGTCAAAAGCTTTCGTTAAATCTATGAATACGCCACCAACTACGAAGCCTTGGTCGATTGCCCCTTTTATTTTATCGGTGAGGGTTAGAAGCGCAAGCTCAGTGGAATAGCCAGGCCGAAAGCCGTACTGTTTAGATGTCAACAGATTAAACTTTGTCAGGTAGGATATTAATCTTGTATGCATAAGACGCTCGATTATTTTGCTGAAAAATGGAAGAATACAAATGGGCCTATAATTACTCAGAAGTTCGCGATCACCTTTTTTGTGAACAGGTGTTATTCTACCAACTTTTAGGGAATCGGGAAATATGCCTGCTTTAAACATCTTGTTAACAAAATCTGCAATGACAGGAGATAGCTCACTAGAGACTAACTTGATGTGGGATGGATGAACAGAGTCAAGACCAGGTCCCGTGGACCTGAGCGAAGTTATAACACGAAGAACTTCCTCTGCACTCGTTGGTCGCAAGAAGAAAGAATAAGGCTGGCGAGGTAATGTTGGTAATGGGGGATTTCTCAGAGATTCACAGGTACTGCTAAAATACTCACTGAACGCATTGGCGATATCAGTTGGATGGCTGTATGTTTCTGCTTCAGTTCTAATTTTCGTTATCTGCTCACGACATTTATTATTTAAGAATTCGTTTATGACCTGCCAGTTGCGCCTCGTATCATTGCCATTATCCAAAATTTTTTCTGAAAGTATTCTCGTTTTGCACATTTAAGTGCGGCTGCAAGCGTGTTGGAATATTTCTTGAAACGAATTTTAAGTTCAGAGTTAAATGGCTCACAAGACACTCTTTTGTGAAGTTGGTTTTTCTTCAAGATACAACGAAGTAGCGCCCTTGTAACCCAAGGTTTTCTGGGATTACTGAAATGACGAGCTGTGATGTGTACCGTCGTGCATTCGTTAATGCATTGTGTAACTGTAGTAAAAAATAGCTGATAAGCCTTTTCAGCGCAGGATTCACTTATTACGACGGTCCAGTCAATTGATTGTACCATAGATACGAATTTTTGAGAATTAAAAGATATCCTCTCTTTGTTTTCCTTACACTTGTAATTTTCTGTGCCCAAAGTCAGGAATATAGGGTAATGATCCGTTATGCTGTGCTCAATGACTCCTTCTGTATTGTCTGTAGCAAAATTGGTTAATATGTGGTCAATTAACGTACTAGATCCTGCTATGTCACATCTGGTGGGAGTGGTTATTAAAGATTCAAAACCGTAGCCATGTAAACACCCGAGATAATCAGAACATGACTGATTAGTAGGGTCGATAATGTTGACGTTGATGTCTCCGCAGATGATGATATTTTTGTTTTCGTTCGTAATAGTGTGCAACAACTTATCGAACTGTAAACAGAACTCAGACTGTGAAGATGCTGGCGAACGATAAATGCACCCTAATACTGTGTTCCGGCCATCGACTGAGAAAACACTCTTGTCAAATTCTATCCATACAGATTCACAGAACATATTAGAAAACGCAAGGTCATTGCGGCGTTTGTATGACAATGACGATTTAATAAAAACGGCGGATCCACCGCCCCGTGGTGTAGCACGATAGCAGTACTCTGCATTGTATCCTGATAGCGCATACAAGTTCTGTCGTCCGGCGACAACCACGTCTCAGACAAACAAATAAATGAGAAATTGTGATTAATTAAAGAAAGAAATGCAACGAGACTGTTGTGGTTTTTACGTAGGCTGCGAATATTCAAATGTATCAGTGATAGTTTTGGGTTTTTATCACTGAAATGTTTTTTCAGAGCTTGACAAGAAAACATTGCTGCGTAGGTTTAAAATACGAAGCAGTAAATAGCAATACTGGTAGGCTAGGCCAACACAGCAAGGTCACCCGCACTAGAGATACGGTAGACGCGGCTGTCGTCCGTCTTTCTGGCCTTAATCATGCAGTGATCAGTCCAGAGATGTTTCCAGCCTTTAGCTTTTTTCAGTTCAAGTGCCTGTGCGAACAGCCGTTTCCTTTCTTGTGTGAGATGATCATTTGCATATAAGGGCTTCTGATTGTTTTGGGAAAACCCAAGGGCCGCAGTCGTCAAGCGGGCCTTGCGTACTTTTTTCAAGAACTCAGTCTTTTTTTCTCGGGAGCAGAAGCGCGCGATAATGTTCGTGTCTTTTTTGGCTGGCACACGATGCACAGTATCAAGATCCTCAGGTGCAATCTTGCACCCTACAGCATCACCCATGGACTGAACAACTGCCAGACAGCTTTCACCTTTTGTTGCAGGGACGCCTTTTATTTCTACATTATTTAGTCGGGAGTACTGTTCAAGTTCAGAAACCCTTCGTGTCAGTTGCTTATTTTCATCTTTCAAAGCCTTGTTTTCAGTAGCGAGGTCGGAATTCTGCTTCTTAACACTCTCGACAAGCTCGTTGAACATACTAAGGCTGTCACGCATCGCCGCGACCTCAGTGCGTAAACACTCAATTTCTTTTGCCAACTCAGCGTTCGTCGGCGTTCTGTACAACAGCACACGATTGGGCAGCAGCGGCAACGGTATTCACAGAACAAAAGAAGTATGGTTGGGTGGAGAAATAAGACCAACCTGTGACGAAAGTAGCAGTAGATTAGCGACTTGTTTGCGACCGCAACCGCTGCTGCCAATTGTGACTCGGCGCCAGCGATGCTTGCTTATATGCGGGAACTTGGCCGGTAGAGGGCAGACGCAGCACACCAATCACTGTCGTGACGAAACGGTCCGCTGGCGATACACGTGCAGAGGCGATATCCTTTCCTTGCTTCGGCTCGTAGACAGTTCCGCATATACTGTCCTGTGACGAAAGTAGCAGTAGATTAGCGACTTGTTTGCGACCGCAACCGCTGCTGCCAATTGTGACTCGGCGCCAGCGATGCTTGCTTATATGCGGGAACTTGGCCGGTAGAGGGCAGACGCAGCACACCAATCACTGTCGTGACGAAACGGTCCGCTGGCGATACACGTGCAGAGGCGATATCCTTTCCTTGCTTCGACTCGTAGACAGTTCCGCATATACTGTCCTGTGACGAAAGTAGCAGTAGATTAGCGACTTGTTTGCGACCGCAACCGCTGCTGCCAATTGTGTCAGTCTCCTGATAAATTTTAGCATCACATGTCGAAAAAAGATAACGAGCCACTTAGCATTGTAGTGGATAACACAGTGGTTACTGATCCTGCAGTAATCGCTTCTTCTTACAACAAATTCTTTCAGTCGATGTTTTCTACTCCGTCCCAATCCGGTGTCGAATCCGCTCCCTCTCCATTGCTTCGCTCGGAAAAAATGCCAGATGTTCAAGTCTCTAATGAGGGAATTGTGGTCCAACTACTGAATATTGACGTAAAAAAGTCAGTAGGCCCTGATGAAATACCAAATGCGTTTCTGCACAGGTATGCGGAATGGGTTGCTCATCGCTTAAAGATTATATTTGACACATCACTCACAGATTGCCGAATCCCTGATGATTGGCTTATGGCAAAGGTTATACCTGTGCACAAATCTGGTGATAAGCAATTCATTGAAAACTATCGTCCAATATCGCTGACCTGTGTTTGCTGCAAGCTCTTAGAACACATTGTAGCCAAGTCAATTTACACGTATATTGAAAATGACAACAAATTTTTTCCTAACCAACATGGATTCCGACAGCGCCTTTCCACAGCAACACAGCTTCTTGAAACAATGAATGACTTTGCCATGACATTAAACAAAAAGAAACAGATAGATGCCATCTGCCTTGATCTGTCGAAAGCATTCGACAGAGTGCTACATGCAGAACTGCTCCTGAAACTCGAAGTTATGGGAATAAATGAACAAATAGCAAAATGGATAACCGCATACCTTCGGGGCAGAACGCAGTACGTAGAAGTAGAACACATTAAATCAAAACCGTTGAACGTGACGTCAGGTGTTCCCCAGGGGTCTGTGTTAGGCCCAGTGCTATTCCTAGTCTATATTAATGATATCGCCTCTGAAATTGACGAAAGGATCACTGTCCGGCTTTTCGCTGATGATTGTCTATTGTACAAGGAAATTGATAACCCGGTTGATCAGTAGTTACTCAGTGACGCTCTTAGGACAGTAGAAGAATGGTGCGACAAATAGAAAATGAAAATAAATGAGAATAAAACTGTTTTATTGCACGTAACAATAAATAAAGTGAATAACTTCTTCTACTTTAATTACACAGTGAATTCCTTGGTGCTTTCTACGGTTGAGGTGCTGAAATACTTAGGCGTTAATATATCCACGAATTTAAGCTGGTCTGACCATGTTGGCAAAATATGCGAAACTGCGGAAAAGAAGCTCTGGTTCTTGCGACGGAAACTGCAATTAGCCTCACAGTAAAACTAACAGCTTATCTGACCTACGTCCGGCCCACGCTAAATTATGCCAGTATAATCTGGGACCCTCATCAGCCAGGGTTAATTCAGAGACTGGAAAGAGTTCAACGACAAGCAGCAAGGTTTATTCTAGTGCGATACTCTCGTACAGATTCCGTCACCGAAATGCTCGGTTCGCTAAACTTGCCCACGCCTGCTGAATGCAGGCGCATAGCAAGACTAAAGTTTTTTTACCTTCTCTCTAAAAACAAATTCAACATCAATAGCAGTCAGTACTTGATAGCACGAGAAGATAGAGCATTGCGAAGAATCAAAGATGGTACTTTCGAAATACCTCAGATGCACATTAACAGTAACGAGTTTTCTTTCTTCCCAAGAACCATTGAATAATGGAATCAATTGCCACTACAAACGCGAGAAATTAATAGTGTAGAACCGTTTCAAAATAACCTAGTAAGTCATTAAAGACGCACGCATTTACGCATGCTGTCTATTTAGTGGTTGTCCGAGTTCAGTTGTTGCATTGTGTTGTTAGCTTTGTATTGTTTGATCGGTGTACGTACAGATTATTTCGCATGTACTGCTGTGTGTTTTTGTACAATAATGGTCAGTTATATTTTCTAACATCGCTTGTTAACTGTGCATTTATGATGTTGTATAATTTGATCATGTATACAGGAACTATTTCGCTTATGTTTTCTTGTGTGTGGTATCTTATGTACGGTTTCTTATGTAGTATGGTTTCTTTCTTTTTTATGTACGCTTGTGTTTTTTTATGTAATATGGATTTTTATTTTTTGTCTTCTCAAAACACAGGATGTCGACAATGCAAATGTCCCTTGACCCACCCTGTAACGGCCGACAGGCCAACAGTATGAGTAAATAAAAAACCAAATTCAAAGTGTCCAGGTAGTAATGACAAACCATCTCACAACATACTGTTAACATACCAACACTAGCTGAAAAAAATAAAGAGATATACATGTACTACCCATCACTCTCATGGAGGCTGAACAGCCACACTATTGCAGTTCCCCAAAGCAGGTATTGCCGGAAACTCTATGGCGAATGCATCATTCCCGAAATCAGCACAATGATGGGCTGTTGTATTCCAAAGCACCCCTCTCATGTGTATACTATGTCTTTTTCGTCGGCGCAGTCATTATTCCGCCATTTTTCGCTCTTCACCATACGAATTTCCCACCAACTATCCCAACGGTTCACGCTTCTACTGTTGGACTCACTTACTCCTTACCGCGAGCGATTCTTCAAAACTCTTCGATACCACGTGAAAACGCCCAGCCGTGCAGCTTAATTGAGCGGCATACTATTATCTGCGGCTATCATAGAAAACACGCAGTGGCGAAAAAACGCAAACTTTTCGGCTGGCTGGAACGACAGCAAGATACGAGCAACAGCGCTTCGAACTGGACAGCCTAACATGCGAAACGTTACGAGGCAGACTTGCGTCGTCCGGGCGAAATAAACGAAACCAATCACTTGGGCGTGCGCGATTCTCCGGTCAGAGTATTGGTTTCATTCTAATCGAAGAAGCGAATTAATGCAACACGACTCACCGTTTCATGCTCATCATTTCCATGGGCAACCTCGACTGAAGGCGTTCGAATTCGGTCTTCATGATTTCGCTCTGCAAATGGATAAAAAAAAAAAGATTAGTCGCACAATGTTACGGCAGTCGCTCGTCGCCCATCGTCTCAAGCCAAGTGTCACAACAGCACGTTCGTAACGTTCGAGCGCATCATTACTACCTCAAACTGATGCAGCGACAGCTGGGGCAAATGTTCCAGGTAATTCTTTGTGGGTCTGTATCGCCTCGTCTCTTCTTCGACCATAGCCATGACCTGAAATGAGAAGCGAAGAACGTAAACACATACAGCGCGATGACACAGTTGTCACTTGTTGCTTGAATTCCCACATACATAACGCGCATCTGAGCGCCAATTTAGAGGCATAGACAAGCAGACTAGTTCAAATTAGGGTTAGGAATCTAAAACTTACGGCTTCGCGAATTCCAGGTTCGTCATAGCCTTGATCAATGTAAGGCAGCGCGTCGACGATCACCTCTCCTGCCATGTCGCGCGACTTCTGGCAAAATCTACGCTCGGATTTGGATCCGACTACATACGGATGAAAGCACGACTACAGACTGCAGTGTCACATGGTTTTAAAATTACGACACTCGCGTTTGTTGGTTTAGAATTCCTTATAATTCTAAATAAAAAACTGTTTTGTAAGAAATAGTAAAATTGGTGAAGTTTTTGCTGTTAGCGACTATATTTTCACCGAAACAATACAAAACAAGACCTAAGACTGGAGGTGTGCGCCGACTAGTCGGCGCGCCGCCACTGAGAGTTTTCGCCACACCGCCGACGCGAACTGATCGGCGCGCCGCCGCCGCCACCGCCGACGTTTTTCATCAGCGCAATCGACGCGCCATTTAAGCGCCAGTACTGAATTTTCACAGATTTGTCTTTTTCGTTTTCATCTTGATTTATAGCTTCGTTTCACGTTTATGTAGCCAGTAAAAAACAGGCTTCTTAGTTATCTTCATCCAGCTTCAGAGACCGACAGTACCACTATGAACAGCGGCACAAGTTGGGCGGCTGCTGCATGAAATGACATATTAGACAAATTGACAAAAAAATAAATGTAATATTGTGTAGTTCTTCATCTAACGTGCTGCATTCGTGCTGCATTGCTACCACTTCATTTCTTCTGTGTATACGCCCTGTTTCGGGCACGATCATAGGCTGCCATCTTGGATTTATAATGATGCCGTTTTACATCCTTATGAATATTATATATACGTTGATGGTAGCATCATGGAAGCTTAATGGGAGCTTCTGAGAGCTGGTTCACAGCGTCTTGGTGCTCGCGCTTTACGCCCTGGTCTTGCAAAAATTCTCTGCAGGAGTAAACAATGGACAATTTGCAATAATCTGCTAGGCAGCTTTTCTGTAGGGTTAGTTTTTAACCAAGAACTCTCGTTCACAGGCTGGTTTTCTCACTCATTTCGTTTTAGCCATTCCTTTTTTTGAGATCTTGTTGTGCTCGCGTGCCTTCGCTGGAATTTGGAGAGGTGACATTTTGTTGTACTCGCATGCTCAAAATGAGAAATAAAAGCAGTCTGTGAACGAGAGTTTTTGGTTGGAAAACAAACCTTACAGAAAAGCCGCCTTTCAGATCACTGTAAACTGACAGACTGCATGTTGATTCAGTTCAGGGCAATCCGAAAAAATTGTCGTCTTCATCTCTGTCCGCCAAATGGGGGGGGGGGGGGGGGCGCCTCATTTCTGCAGCCCAGCAGGGAGCGCAGGGCGCAGAAAATAAGGATTAAAAAAATCGAGAGAGAGACAAAGAGAGAGAAAGTCAAACACTGCCTTTTTTTTCAACCCAGGAAAGAGAGAAGGTGCACGTTCAGTTCGTCACACGGCGAGAGAGAAACATAACCTAGGTCATAATGAAATGATACGCACAACACAGCACAGTGCAATAACGTTGCATCGCACGTGCAGAATAGGGTCTGCAGCGCTAGGCAGGCTAGGGCCTGGGGGAGTGGAAAACTTGAAATCACCACAGAGTGTGGGAAACATACCTGACGATGGATCCAACCTCTCGGCTAATTGTTCAGCGCGTCTCGTGGCACGTCGAACAAATCAAGCTGCCTCGATTTCCGACAGCTCTTCCTAGCCCTTCAGTCAGTCAGGCGTGTCCAAAGAGTTTTTGACGAGGGGAGTTAGCAGCCCTAAAGAATTCGAAGTATAACTTTCGTGTTGTTGCCGCTTTTGGCGCACCTCGAGAGCGTCGACCCGGAACAAATCAGGGTAGGCTTGGCTGCAATCGTCCCCCGCGTCCAAGCGGCGCCCAGCCTGGGAGGCCGATCTTAACATCTTTTACAGACACACGCACATAAGCACGCACAGTTTCACTCCAAGAGGGGATTGGTAGTGGTCGCAATGACGTACGTAGCGTGCATCTTCTAAAAAAAGGCTTGCAGTGTATGCCATAGCTTCTTTTCTTTGAAAGTCTTGGAATTCCAGTATATTTTCATTATATAGCTGAAGTATGAGGCGGTTGTTAGTCGCATATATTTGGTTAAAGTACTACAAATATTTATTCGCCGCGCACGACTTCTAGAAATGACACTCAGAGAAAAAGTAAATCGCTCCAAAATTTTAAAAATTAAGCTTGCTCGTGGGAGTACTTGTTCTCTCTCTGCGCTTTTCCGTGGTTCATTAGTGTTAAGCCCCGCTGCCGCTTCTATAGAATGGTGTACAATAAGCCGTATCAACGCAGTTACAGTAATTTCTTCAAACTACCAAGCATACGATCACCAGGCATTTTCCCTCCGGCATATATTGATGAAAAGAAGCGACATATTTTTGCTGAAAACCCGATTTATGCACTGGGGCCCGGTGCACAGATGTGGCATGTTGCAACTCTTGATAAATGGCAAGTGCGAAGACGGCAAGAACCTCTATGCTATTGTCTGTGCGTCTGGTGTAACGAAAACCTCTAGTCTTGAGAGTGTTGGGTTAAACCGTGCACTTTGCCCATTGCTATTTTTCATCATGGCGTTTCTGAATTAAATTTTTGAGTGGTGCTATGTGGAGCACGCGCAGTAGTGCCGATGTGCTATTTGGTGCTGGTACAAAGAGAAAACTAGCTTGTATCTCTTCTTCAATGAGTCCTTCAATTAACCCTATTCTAGGGGGCTGCATAGACGACTATACGCCTGACACACTTGGAAAAGTAAAACACATGATAAGAGACCACTTCTGCTAATTGAGTGACTTATAGAACATCACCATCTATACTGTGGTGTTCTGCAGAAAGATGTTGAGCTAATGACGTGCCGCATTAGGTTCTAAATTTAACATTGATGTGTCCAGACAGAAATATACTCAGCGCATTTGCTAGCAGCCTGCCCTGTGTACCGGCTGTAGTTTTTTTCAAAAAAGCTTTTTTTTTAGTGAGTTAAATAATTTTGAATTGGCGTTCTACTGATCCCAGTCCTCGCGTGGGTTTAAATGAAGGTGGTTGGTTCATACCTTAAGCAATGCGTCCTAGCATTAGGTGCAAGCTCAGCAGATGCGAGAAACATCTAGACAGCATACCCAGCTCTCTAAGTACTTATTCAAATTATTTCCGTGCAAGTATTAGCTTTAGTCAACGAGGAATTCGAATACTTTTAGAGTGCACCACGTGGACATCTTGTGACACTGTGAAAGGATACCGACGTGTCAAGCTCCTCGTTAATTACACCCGAAGATTTATAAATTGATACAGCACAACGATCATGCAAAGAATCCGCGAAAATAAAAAAAAGGTATGCTTCGCGACAGATAAGTTGCAATTATAAACCAACACATAATTACTGGTTAATTAAACGTGGTCCCTCAAGTACTATTCAGTTAGTTCATAACTGTGACTCCTCTGTCATGCAACATTTTTTTTTAATTTTATGGATTCTTTGCTTTTGCCGCACAGGTTGGTATCACTTCCCGGTAAGCGGAGATCTGCACGTGGTTTAAATGCACCTGGGTAGGGTTCGCATTTATTGTTGACTAAATCTATAATAATGTGGCACTCGAAATGCCGAAAATTAAAATGACGAACTTTTTGAATGCCGAAATTTAGAACACCGAAAAATCAAAAAGCCGATTATACAAGATACCGAAAGTGTAAAATGTCAAAAAAATCAAAACACCTACCTATCCAAACGCCGAAATATCAAAATGTCTGCGTCACCTAGCTATACTGGAAGATGAAGTATCTAGCTAATTTAGAGGTTACGCCAGCACACTCGTTCACTCTCATTTCCAGTTGTCCCTTTACATTTATCTCAAGCCTTCATAAAAGTAGCAAATTATAAATTTTCCCACCTCCAATCGCACATCAGAGTGATTTCTTGCTTATCGCAAACAGTTTGCTCTGTAAGCAGTAGGGTTGTCGCTCCCTTGACAATTTCTTCGAGTCTGGCTTGCTTCCTCTTCATGGTAGCAATAAACCGAAATTGCAGGGCTGTCGTAGATCACTTTCTTCGAGATTGTCATGCGAGTATACAGAGTGACTACCGACCTTCTACAGGAAGGTCGATAGTCACTCTGGCGTTGCAGTCTCTTCACTTCTCGCACCTCCAATAGTGCCTAGAGTACACCTTGTCAACAACATAAACATAACCACAACTGCAACGAAGTATTGGTTTTCCTTTTTGGTAACACACCACGCCTCATCTTCGTCCATTTTCCTCCAAATCGGGGGTATTTGCGTGCATGGTTCAAGGAATTTTCGGCGATACGTCTTTTCAGCATTTTGATTTTCCAGCATTTGTTGTTTTAGGTGTTTCGATTATATGTCATTTAAAATTTTCAGCTTTTTGACATTCGACCTTTTAATAAATAGGCGTCTTGATTTTCGACATTTTGATAGGGACCCAAGCTAATACTCCCTAATAAATCACTTCAATTAGTCTGAACAAAGCTTAATATGTTCTATAAATGCTCCTCGCTTCCACACAGCTTGTATTTCATGCTAGGATCCATTGTTATAAGGTATGATAACGTGCAAGCACACAGATAACTTAGATAAGCCGAAGATAACTAGTGAATAATTTTCTCACCTAAAACAAAAAGTAAACAAAGATTTTCAGTCAGTACGCAATGAAAATCACTACTAAATCGACTGTTCAGTATATTTTACCTGAAACACGTCAACGTTAAACTTACGACCACTTATGAGCAAAAAAAAAAAGCTTTTTTTTAGCCAAATTTGACGCCAGTTGCCCACACTATTTTGCATTACGTACGTTTAAAATTATTTTTCGCCTACAGGAAAACTACTTGACAATTCGTTAATACAATCTATTTCATGACACTATTATCTGTCACTAATAACGCGTTCGATGCATCGAACGCGTTATTCGAAGGTCGTAGGTTCGATTCCTGCTCACGGCTGGTTATTTTGTCATCCACTTTTCTTTCTTCTTATTTACATTCAATTGGTTCTAATAACTTCCCCTGTACATTCCTTGGCATTACTGTCTGTTATATCTCATTATTATGTATAATAAACGTCTCAACAATATATATATATATATATATATATATAATAGCTTTCAACATACAAAAA